ACTCAAAAGACACGCTGGATGGCTTTGAAGAAGAACCAGCTGCTTCGAAGTCGCCTTTGATGTCTACGACACAATATCCTCATGGTGCACTTACAAATTTAACACTTAGAAACATGGTGTTTGTTAGGACTCATTTGTAATATACATTACACGCAATCCAAAGCCTTTGCCAGGTTGAATTGAGCTCATGACCTCTGTATCTGTCCTTCTTAAACCGAGCCACAGACACTTGCGTTTTAGAAATTTACACAACTCGATCCACCCATTGTATGAAGCCTCTTAATTCGTAGAGAAGTCCCATAATTCAGATATCGATCTCCAGACTACACAATGCATCATGTTGGAGAGATAACAGTGATTCAACTTTTTGGCGGAACTCTGTAGTGTATCGTTTGTTTACTAAGTTCATTTTTGTTCGATCTCTTTCAAATGATACCATTGAAATCGGGATTCTGTCCGTTTAGATGTGTGGTGTACCACAGGGATGTTGTTGTGTTTTTTTTTTCCGTATTTGTATGCTTAGACTGTCAGCAGCAGCGTTTGGTAGTTGTTAATGAAGAGATTCATTTATCAAAATTGAATTGTTGTGTTGTGGAGGTGTCGATAACTTGTGAAGATCGAAAAATCGGTTCATCTCAGATGGCCAAGTTTTGTGACTTAGTGAGAAGAAGATCTGTACATTGAATTTTAAATAACGTATTTGAATTGATGCGGTGGAATCGAGTTGGAATGTGGGTAATGAGAGTGAGTTAGATGGGTATGATGTTTACAATGTGTGTACATCATATCAGGTGGTAGTCTTTGGAAGGGGGCAGGGATCGTGAGGTGGTTGTTTTTGGCTCTAACAGTTGTGATTTTACATCGTGGAGCGGTGTAACTAGTGATAGAGTAGGTTTTGGCCATACTGGTGGGGACGGTACCGAGGTGGTGGGAAGACATAGTGAAGGGGTAAGGGTGGTGGACCTTGAAGGCTAGGTGTGCTAGTCTGTGTGGGGTGGTGGAGTCCTGGTGGGCTGGTGGGGTTTGTGTGTAGGGGTGGTGGAGCTCTGGTAGGCTGGTGGGGTTTGTGTGTACAGGCGGTGGAGTTCTGGTAGGCTGGTGGGACTGGTGCGTAGTGTACAAGTTTGATTTGAAGCGTGGTGTGGTTTTGCGCTGTCCGGGTGCGGGTTTTTTGTGAGAGGGTGTGATGTTACAACACAGGTGTGGTGTGTTTTTGACTATGCGCAGCTGGTCATCGTCTCCTTAGGGAGAAAATTGGACTTAGCCAAATTTTCTACCCCCCAAGAAGCTTCTCAGGATGTTGTTTCATCTTGGCAGGAGATGTCGAATGACATTGGGTCATACTGACGTCTGTATGGCCCTATGGTATAGGGTACATATGTACATGTACAGGTGCGAGTATTCCCGAAGAAGACAAAGAGCAACAAGAAGCAATTATCAACAAAAATCAAGATACAGGAGTCAACGAGATAGAAGACGACAATGAGAACAAGGTTGATAATCCACCGGGAAAAGAAGTTGGTGATCAATGGTATAATGTCATTGATGGTCCATTTGAAGCTCCTCCCGCTCAGCCTGCAACCGATTGTACCAAGGCCAATTCAGTATATCTTTTGACACTTGTGGTATGTATATTCCCTTTATTCACATCTGTCCTTTACAACATTTCTAATGAATTCTTTCTCAGCTTGATGAAATTGCTAAGAAGATAGGAGGATCATCGCAAATGTTGCAAGTCTTCGATGCAACCTGCAAAAGTATGGACTTATCTTTCCCTCGACCAATTCCTGGTTACGGAATTCAATGGAACATCAAGCTTCAATGTTGGGAAAGGTTGTTTAATGCCCAAGAGGTCTGTATTTCGGCTTCTCTCCTTCTACTTCTCCAAATTAGCTCACTTTCACTTCTGCTTCAGGTCATTGACAGAATGCTTAAAGACAATCAGAAGGAGATCACCAAAGGCAAGAGCAGCAAACGTCAAAACACCGAGCTTGGACCTAGCGATCCAAATCAAGATCAACCTCGTGGTATATTCAACAAAGCTTACATCTCGCCTGAACAATGGAAACAAGTGGGTAGATTGATCAAGGTCCTTCGTGTAAGCATTGTTTCCTTTCCATATGCTTGATTTCCATACACGTTCTTGTCTCTGTATCTATTCTAAGTATCAGAATAGAATACTGATTTATTGTGCTTGGCCTTTGCTTTTATTCAGGAATATCAAACATTGACAAAGGTCTTTGAGGCCGATGCTCCAACTGGATCTCTAGTTATTCCTCAATACGTCAAACTTATCAAATCGCTTCAAAATAAGATTGATTCATGTACTTCCCGAGCCGACCCTCTTTTCCCGATTTACCACGCGATGCATGTTCGGGTTAAATCATACCTAGCTGAAGCACTCAAGTCAGATGTCTTGATTCTTGCCACCATCCTTCACCCCAGCTGGCGAACCGATTATTTTCAATTTGCATTTGGGGATAACTCTGATGAACACAAGACTGCTCAATCATTGTTACAGACTGCCTTTGAGACTCGAAAAACCAAATTAGATACTGGTAAAAACAATTTGGCTGGTGAGACTGATTCAAACAACAAGGACGAGGACGATGATGGATTTTGAGCACATCGAAAGAAAGTGCAGACCCGCTCTGAGAATGAACTTTGCAACTACCTCGAGCGTGTTGATGAACCTTCCACCGCAGTTGAAAAGGACCCACATCTTGCGTTAGAATGGTGGAAGGTAAATATAACTTCACATTTATTTCCTTTCATTCTGTGACCACAACTTTAATTATTTACAAAATCTTTTTACTAGGTGAATGAAGCGAGATACCCAGTGCTGTTGTCTCTGGCCAGAGATTATCTAGCGGTCTGTGGGGCATCATGTGCAGTTGAGAGGACTTTCTCAGCTGCTGCAGATGTCTGTTGCCGTGATCGAGGAGCTTTGAAACCTTCAACTGTGGAGCGCTCGGTAGGATCTCGAATGTGGTCAAAGGATGGTGTTGTCATAGCAGGTGATGAGTTTTTAGATTGTCAAAAATGTATGACAGAAAGTATGGAATTGGACAAAGTAAATCGTAAGAGGAGGGGTTAAACAAAATTAAAAGAGTACCAATTTTTGATTTTGATTTCTTTGTCTTTGTATTTTTCATCTCTTCTCTCAACACACTGGTGGTTTTTTCCTTTCTATATTTAAATACACGACTTTTTTTACTTTGTTTGTTCTTTTCATCCCCACTCAACTGAAACGATACTTTTTTGTTATGTGATTTGTGCACTGATACCGGTATCAGTATTGGTATCATGACAGTATCGACTAAATTGTTGATACCCAATACAGTAACGGTATCGTTCTAGTATTGGCGGTACTTTACTTGACTTGGTCTGCCATAGTATCTTGAAATTCGATACCGTATCGGGTAACGGTATCGGATTGGCGGTACTTTACTTAAGTATCTTGGAAGCAGTATCGTGGGTTCGATACTTTACCGGGTATTGCCGTTACTATACTAGTATAGTAACTGTGGCTGCGTTGCCTCAGAGCTACATAGTTCTGGACCCAAACATACTTTTCTTTTCACTGGCAAAACAAAAGCCCCAAAAAGTATGTACAAGTGCATGCAGAAAAGATACAACACATTTGCTCCACCACCCCCAACTAATGTGTCATATCTCATCCGGATGCACTTGTACATGTACATACTTGTTGAGCATGACCTTCTCTTGTGACAGAGGTTCCAGATGTTGTGACATGTTACTGGAAATGAATAGTAAATAAGCCACAAGTCTTAATACAACTTTTATACTAAACTAAATCTCAAACCCTAATTATCTTCAATTCAAATTGCACCACTCCTGGGACGTGTGTACACAGGACCCTGGAATGCGCCTATGGATGTATCTGACAAAACCCAATTTTTGGTTTTTGGGTGCTACTCTACACCCCACTACCTGCCTTGCGGTCCCAGACACCTCAAAAGATGCGCATGGGACAGGGCTATCCAATGAGTCTGGTCGTAGACCTGTAGTGTTGCTCAGTTCAACGGAAATCACAAAGGTACAAAAAAAATTGGCCTCCAAGGTCCGATTAGGACCTTCCAAATATGGGCCTTTTTGGGCTGTTACATTGAGATATCTCAGGAAGTATTGGAGCTACGGGGTTGAAAGTTAGTGTAGCTGAAAGGCCTGCTTCTGGCGCATCGTTTAAACTCCTGTAGGTGTCAGTGAAGTGAAGTTTAGTGCCCAAAAACATCACCAACAAAAGGTCCTGATTTTTGTCAGATACATCCATAGGCGCATTCCAGGGTCCTGTGTACACTCTCTCTTTTCCTCATCCGTTCATTCACGGTATAGGAAAAGAGTGAGTTACCCCACATTTCTCTTCCATAGTATCATCTCTCTATTCTTACTCATTTCTTCTTATTTCTTTCATACTGATTGAATATGTGACCTTTTCATCTGATGACATGTCAACAATAGACTCAGTGCTGAGACCATACATGTTGAATTCTTATTCTATCTTTTTATCTTGACTATAATCCTTTAGGTTAGTCAGGTAGTTAGGACAAGAGGTGATTTGAGACTCACCTCTAGATTTGTCATTTGGGTTATCAGGACAAGCTTCAAGACTTTTCAATACTCACTTTGAGTAGCCTATATGAAGAGAGATTTTGTTGGAGTTGGATGAATTCCCAACTGCCAGCATACCCTGTGGGTGCACCTGTAGGTCAGTGATCTCTGGTGACACAAATGTGGGGTATGTTACATTTGATGTCCCCTTACCCTGCATAACCATTGAAATTATGATTATAATCCATGTTTCAAGGTTTCAGAGGGGGGTTCAAATTTAAGTTTATGTAATACATGGTTCTTCAAAAGCAGATGGGTTCTAGCTGGATAAGCAAGCATAAAATTTTCCATTCTATCCCCAAATCAATGCTATGCAATGATCAGCCAGTCATTCTGCCAAAAAATTGGGGTCTCAGACTCTGATTCAATCATAACATGCAAAACTTTTGTTGTAGGGTGGAGATAAGTTTCTCCCTGTCTACTTGGCTCAGTAGGTCAAAATGGCCTTCCTCCATCTCCTTGAGGATTCCTACAGTTCCAAACCGTGAGTCAATTATATCTTCAGCTAGATACTTCAACATATGAATCTTATTTGAAAATTGTCTTGCATGGATGTCTATACATCAGGTAGAAGAGGTCAAGAACCAATTTGTTAATCTGAGTAGCTTAAAAAAAGATCAGACATTTGTAATCACCTTTGTTAACTTCTATGGTTGCGCCTGTGGACCCTTGATCAATAGCAAGCATGAAATTGAAGGCCTCATACATCTGATCCATTGCCATCTGCTGCTGTCTCTGTAGGTTCTGTAGCTGTTGAACCAAGGCCCACAAACCTCTGGCCTGGAACTCTTTGAATCCCCATGATTTAGCTTGATCTATAAAATTTGACGACCCCTGCAAGCTTCAAGTAACCGGCTTGCTACATAGTCCTGTTGATCTTCGGATGAGAAGATGTAACACAAATCTATCAACAATGGCAAGGATCGAGATACTTTGGAAAGCTGGTGAAGTTAAACTTACCCCATGTCAGGTGATCCCTTGATTCTTGGAGATCAGGAAGGTGATCCCATAATGAGTTTTCTTCACTTTCACCCTTCCTGTTTTTGTAAATAAAATTGATATCACTTCGAATTCGTTCACTGGCTGACCAAGTATTCTCAGTCATCGCTGCCATAGCATCCATAAACTGATGGAGAGATGATTGATCACATGGTCCGATATCTGACATTGGACCAGGACCCTGGAATGCCCCTACTAAGGCGTCTGACCAAAAATGTCAGGTTTTGGCCTGTTTGAGCTCAGATGTATCTGTCCAAAAATGTCGGGTTTTGGGTTTTGGGAGGTTTACCGCGCATATGTATCTGACCAGAAATGTCGGGAAATTGGTCCTTTTGTGACATTTATGGGGTTTGAACCCACAGTAGTGTGGTTTTTGTCAAATGACCGGAGCTTTTTTGCGGAGACCGGGGCTTTTACCTGGGTTTTGAGGCTTCTACCCGGGTATCAAGGCTTTTCTCCGGGCCCGTTGCTTGGAGGTATCTGACCAAAGATGTCGGGTTTTGCCAAAAAAAAAAATTGCGACCAGCGTAATGTCGGGTTTTACGTCAGACGCCTCAGTAGGCGCATTCCAGGGTCCTATTGGACCCTGCTCCTTGGACCAAATCAAGGACAATCTATCCGGTGAGTATTTACCCTTCCAGCGTGAATAACGTTTTCGAGGAATAAAATATCCACCCCACATCAAGCTTTCACATAGTTTTTGTCTTGACGGTGGAACTATGTGAATCCAGCTTGTGATTAGTTACAGGTTGAAGATTAATGTAGGTATGATATGCACTCACTTTGATAAACTGAAGCCACCTGTCTCACCCATCCGAGCCTATCATATGTATCTTTTATATTCTTGCAAGCTAATGCCTGCTTCAAAGGTAGCTGCCTATCCTTCTGGGAATCATAGCTCCCAATCAAGTAGAGCGAACTCTTATAGTAGTCATGCCACGCTATATTGAAAAAAAATGTATCTCAGCGGCTTTGATTGGTGACAACATCAAAGGCACGACATGTCGACGAGTTCCATGACTGAGAGGCTAGTTGAGTCGGGCTATAAACATACATGCGTATAGCAAGAGGGAACTTTGAGAAGGAAAAGTTTCCCTCGCGATGAGTTTGGAAAATTTCCATCCTCACACACTCTCACTCATCGACTCAACTATCGAAGACATAGAACTTGGATCTTCTTCAGTTCACATTTCATTTGTTTATACATAATCTTTCAAATTAACACAGAAGTACTGATCAAACACCTAACACGAATCATAATCACTACGCAACGAAATGGTAACCCTAGCTGAAGAACTCGCCCAATCGAGGAGACTGGCGGAAATCGCCCTAAGGAAGGGGGAGTCTGGTCCGAGTACCAGAAACAGGTCTCAAAATTGTGAGGAGACAGGAACGAATGATCAAGAACATGTGGACTATACTCACGTGGAAGAAGAAGACCCTGATGAAGACGACCCAAGAAACGACTTCAATGACCCACTAGATGACGAGGAGGACAACGTTTCCGATGCAAGCGCTATATCAGCGAGAACATCCCAAAAGAGGTTCTTACCTGACGGAGTCGAGAGATTGCCGAGGAGTGATCCAACAGAGGATGGGGTACAGAGCGAGGTGGTAATCAACGCGAGGAGAGATCTTGATCAAGGTAAGATCATAGACTACTCACATGAACAATCCCACTGTCCAAACCCCCACTCCCCATATCCACTTCCTAGTCCCAACCCCTTATCCAACCCCTCCGTCCTACCCAAGAACTCCTAATCCCTCGAGGTAGTGAGTATCCAGAAGCTCCACCATTCGAGTAGTGTCACATAACGCAGAGCGTCAGTCAATTTGTAGACTGAAGACGGTGACCCGTCCGCCTGGTTAAAAAGATAATAGGCGTAGATGTGCCCGCCAATCACAACTAGCGACATAGATGTGCCCGTCAGCTGAAGTGTGATACGAAGATGTAGAGGGGTCCGTCAGTGGAAGTGCAATGAAACGATGCCGCGAGCATCTACTTACCGGTGCACAAAGAGCACACAATCCATGATAACTTAGGATGTAGTGATGCCCATCCGAAGATGTAGAGGTGGCCATCCAAGGGCTTGCGTACACCGTATGTGTACGGAGTCAAAGACAATGTTGAACAGCCCATCCCATCTAGACCAGACAGTAACTCCTACCTCTAAGTAGACGTGGCAGAGACCATACGCATAAATGAGCGACTTACCTCAATCCAGGAAACCTGGCTCATCCTAGTCTACTTCCGCGCTAGAAAGCCTAACCATGACTTTAAACTAACGTAATGTTTATACCGGTCTCTCTGATATTAACCAGATGCAACAACAGAGAGCCGCATGAACTGGTGGAGGACTATCATACACACCTTCAACAGAGAAGATCTAAACCTCGGTCGAACAATGCTAGAAGCGTTCAGAATGACTTACGGCTATGTCCCGTTCGAACCGGAAGAACCTAGAGGTAGACGACTCAATCGAAATACCGAGCAAAACCGTCACCTTGACCAACGCCCGAGGACAGAGTCCTTAATACAAGACGAAGATCCAGCAGAGGAATTCACCGGGGATGAACCCGACCAAACAAACCGAGACAAGCGTAATCTCAAAGAAACTTCCGGTATATCCTCGAGACCAGAAGACCGCGCACGCCGAAGCCAAGCAGTGACAACAACTCCTAGGTCCTCCACACCTACGGCTAGAGAAGCTCTGCCTACAATCAAATCGAAGAAAAGGAAGGAACTCCCGGCCAAATCTTTGTCTGGAACTGAAGAGGAAGACTTATCAGATCCAGAGAAAGAGATAGTCTTTGTGGATGACCAAGAATTATCCAACAACAATCTGTTAAAGCTCTCAAACAGTTTTCATCAACGAATGACAAATCTCACGGCTTTTGTTCCTCTGACGGTGTTTAACGCAGACTGGATCGAGAGGGATGTGGAGAAGGCAGGACTAAAGAAATTGAAGTCAGTTAAAGAGCTCCAAGAAGGCGACGACATCCCCACATATTCAGGTTTAACCCCGAGAGATGAATTGCTTTTAACTTGCGGTGAATAGATGGATTGCATGGATCTCTTCATCCGATACGTCAAGGAATTTTATCACATGAAGAAGTCGGCGGAAATGTTTCGGAAACACAAAGCAATCGTTGTCGACATAAGGCGCACCACATCCTGCTGGATGATAGCTCTACGTTACTGCATCAAAGTGCGGAAATTAGTGATGCAGAACAGATTAGGTTGGGACAAGAAACGTCAGATGAGCAATGCCGGAATTTTACACAACGACATCTTACGCGCTGCAAAAGACAAAGCAGAAGCACTAGGTGAACGTGCCTACCAAGAGAACCCCTACGCCTCATCATCCGGAGAGCCAGAGCAGACCTCATCCCGCGACAGAAACTCATTTAAGAGAGACCTACCGGGATTGTTCAACGACAACAATCATTGGAAGAGCTCAGGATCTAGACGTAACAATAAGAACAAGAACAATCATAGTCAGCGAAATGAGAACAACATTAATAACAACAATAATGCCAAAAGAATGCCCTGGTATAAGGACAACAACAACTGGAGAGACAACAACAATCATAACGCTTACCATAGCAATCAGCAGCCCCACCGAAGTCAGAACAACAACAACTTCCAGCAAGGTGGAGGTTTCTACGGAGCCAACTTCCCTTCGTACGGAATGCCGCCTAACGGCTACGGTTTCGGGACCCACCAACCGTCTCCATACGGAACGGGTACCTACGGCAGCGCCTACACTCCCAGTTATACCCATGGTAGCTCGACCCACGCGTCTGAACCCCAAAATCAGCTTACTGTGGTGAGCAAACCGGGTGGAAACAACCAAGGAGGAGCGTTAGCAATTGTCAACAGGCAAAGCGGGGGCAATAAACAGAACTGGTAAGCAACAATCCATTTAATATGGGACATTCCAGTACAAACCTCCTAATCCATTCCAATCACGCCCCCAACCCATACACATTCTTCAGAGTCCGAAGACAAAAATCCCTGCCTGAAGCTGGGGGAAGGCGTTATCGCCAGAGTTGACAGATTGCATATAATCCGCGTCGGGCCGAGGAGATAGTGTTACGGGAGAATGTCATGTATAGACAGTTTGGAATCCCAAGAATACTTGAATATTAGATGCCCCCCCCCCTAGAATGGGATCAATAAGACATCGTTGTATGAGACCGTGATACTTACTAAACCTGCAATTGCCATACTTTGATAATCAGTGAAATTACGCACAACAGCATCTTACCAGACCCGCGTAAGAGCCCTTACAGAATTCAAACTGTGGAGCTAGCGAACCTGCCTGAGCAAACCGCGAATCAAGCAGAGGTGGAGAATACCTCTGAGGGTAATGAGAAGCCCCTAGCACCGAAAGAAATGATGTGTGAGTCCTTCGTTACAGACAGGTAAAGAGGGCAGATGTTACAGATGTTAATTCCTCACGTAACGCGCAGTAGCCAATACCACAGGAAATGCGGGACCTCCGCCGACAGCATTGATACCCAACAGGGAGTGGCCGACCTCGGTAAGCTGTGAAATGAATTTAGATAAATGGGAGGAAATGTTAACTCAACTAGATCTAATAGAAAAACATCGGAGTATTATGGAAGGGTTTAGAACAGGATTTGACCAAGGCATACCAGACCATATGCTGGAAGGCATGAGGTTCTACTCCCCAGCAAACCACGACCAGTCCAGAGAATCGAACGCCATGATGATAGAAAAGATACAAAAGGAACTAACCGCCGGCCGGATGCGTGGACCTTTCACAGAGGAGGAGGTATTGAAGAAGTTGGGATTCTTCAGATCGAGCCCGATGGGAGTGGTGACTAACGGAGACGGATCAAAACGGATAATTAATGATTTATCCTATCCTAAGTACAAAGACGACTTACCGTCAGTGAACTCTTACGTCGACAAGAACAAGTTCAAGACCACCTGGGACGACTTCGCAAGGGTCGCAATGTTCTTCGCAAACACAGAGGGTGAATTAGTCCTGGGCATATTCGATTGGGAAAAGGCTTACCGCCAAATCCCTACGCACCCTAATCAGTGGAGATTCCTAATGCTAAGGACAAACAGCAACCTAATAATCCTGGACACAAGAGTGTCGTTCGGGGGGGTTGCCGGATGCGGGAGTTTCAGAGGCCCTGCCAACGCGTGGAAGGACATAATGAAGGCATTCTTCGGTTTCGACGAAGTCTTCCGCTGGGTAGACGACAATCTATTCATAAAGAGAGTCGGAAAGGGTAACGAGACCACGATGAAGGACGTGGTATTGCAAAGTGCCCTCTTAGGCGTTAAGACCAACGAAGGAAAATATTCTGAATTCGCAACTGAACAAAAATACATTGGCTTTATTTGGAACGGGAAGGAGAAGTCAGTAAGACTACCCGAAAAGAAGCTCATGGAAAGGAAAGCTCAAGTGGACGAAGCCATAAATAGAACAAGACCACACACCTTTAAAGAAATAGAGAAATTAAGAGGACGGTTTTCACACGTGACAAACATACTACCGCAGATGAGATGCTTCAACACAGGACTAGATCACTGGTTGGCAACGTGGACAGTGAAGAGAGCACCAAGAACGATGCCGTCGAACGTCCTAGAAGACTTAGGAGAGTGGAAGCGAGTGTTGCACGAATTTAAGAACCATCGACTGATTCCTAGGAAAGACTCCATCGACGTCGATTGGGTCGGAGACGCAGCGACGAGCCATGGAATCGGCATAATTGTGGGTAACAAATGGACCCAATGGAAACTGAAAGAAGGCTGGATCAATACCGACGCTTTAGGCGTGAAAAGAGATATAGCATGGGCAGAGACCATTGCAGTGAGACTGGGTCTGGAAATGGTGGTGAAGTTGTTTGACGTATGAGGTAAACGATTCCTGTTCCTCACGGACAACACCACCACCGAAGGGGTAGTCCGAAACCTCAAGTCGAGACACGTCGCGGTGAACCGCGAGTGGAGGAAGATACAACGTAGATTAGTGGAACTGGACTGTGACCTGGAAGAAAAGAGAGTGACCTCCCTGAACAACGGAGCAGACGAACTGTCAAGAGGTATAAGAATCAGGAAATACGACTCCGACAGAGTAAATATCGACATACCTGACGACCTGAAAGATTTCATAGAACTGTCAACAGTCCCACTTTCTGTATCAACAGACAACTTGGTGAGTGAGAAACGAAGAGGATTCGCGAGTAGCAACATAAAGGTAACTGACCAATCGACCAATCCTTACTATGCTAACAGCAGGAACAGACACCTGCTGACACCCCAGAACTCCAATCCCCTTTTGTCGAACAGAAGACGCTTCCCCTGAGCCATTCCCTGCCATGCCGCCCAAACACCCCAGTTTCGCTAGGATTGAAGACGAAATAGCTGACGACAAGACGAAACAGATCGCCAGACATATGGTTAGTGGAGCATGGGCAGACACGACCAAACAAGGTTACTCGAGTGCTGTCGCGAAATTCAAGGAGTACATCGAGAGTGAAGGCAAGGATTGGGATTCGGCCATACCAGTGCAAGCCAACGACGTCTACGGATTCATCGTGTGGGCAGGGGAATCTATCGCCGAGAAGGATTCATCAGCAAGGAGGACGGTGAAGGCCAAAACGATCGAAAAATACCTAGCGGGTTTAGTCGCATGGCCGATGGCGACCAAGTTAACCCCCCCGGATCTGAACCAAAGAATGGTGAAGGCTCTGATACGGGCATGCGAAAGAGCTGAGGAACAGACCGTACTGGAGTCAAGCGAGGACAAGAACCAGAAGACCAAGAACGAAAAGGTGCCAATCCAAGTAAGAGAACTCATTGGCCTGATCTGCGATATCGCCGGTAAATCAGAAATCGAAGAGGCTATTGCGACAACGGCCCTGGTGGCCTTCTGGGGCATGATGAGACTAGGGGAACTTACTAGAACGTCACGAAAAGAAGGAATGTTAGCGAGGAAGGACCTGACCTTCGAAGGGAAGGGAGAAAAGAAGGTTGCTATACTGACCCTGTGGAAAGCAAAAACAGCGAAACCAGGGCAGTCTCAGTCAATAAGAATCCCATCGCAAAGATCAATCCTTGACCCGGTGGCAGCACTCAAACGCCTCCTAGAACGTAACCCTTCCTTCGAACAAGAAGACGCCTTATTCGGTTACGAGGTAGGGAAACAAAGGAAACCCCTATCGAAGAAGATGTTCATTGAGTACCTCGAAGAGCGCTGGGGGAAAGGCGGAGTGAACATTGGGTCTTGGTCCGGTCACTCCTTCCGAGTAGGAGGAGCTTCATTGAAATGGAACCTCGGCTGGGAGAAAGACAAGATAATGGAGCAAGGACGTTGGAAGTCAGACGCCGTGGATGTTTACCTGAAAGAGTATAGCGAAGACGAAAAGAGGGAGGCGAAAGACCTGCTATGGGCAATAGATCGGCGGAATACATCAACCCGAAAATAAAAACGCCACATAGCAGGTGAGACATAGTTCAGAAGAGCATACAGGAAGTAATAAAGTTTGAGTACAACCGACATAACTGAACGCAACACAAACTAAAGTTTCCATTGTACACACGAAAACCCTATATTCATTGACGCAAAGGATGTACAGATGGATGTACGTAAGATCGACGACACGTAACCCAAGTGTCTTAAGAAACGATAATGAAGCTGAGCAGGAGGACATCTTTTTTTGCCACGCCCCTGCGGGTTTTGGGGTATCCTCGCCGTGACGAGCCCCGCCGGGGTCCCGGCAAATTGGGAAGTCGGCGAGGACACCTGAGAAACCCCAAGATCATGGCTTGTAAACAAATAGGCCCGATTTTGCGTGGGAAAGAAAATTTTCCGGACCACGCAAAACGGCCTGGCCTGCGGCCGCCATCCCGAACACGCTCTACAATACGCGTAACGTAAGTAGAGTGTGGATGGTTTGTGAGATTATATATATGACAATGTCATGAATGTTCACAAGGCAAGAAACTTGCCCATCACCAAATGGATTGGTGACGACATCAAAGGCACGACATGTCGACGAGTTCCATGACTGAGAGGCTAGTTGAGTCGGGCTATAAACATACATGCGTAGAGCAAGAGGGAACTTTGAGAAGGAAAAGTTTCCCTCGCGATGAGTTTGGAAAATTTCCATCCTCACGCACTCTCGCTCATCGACTCAACTATCGAAGACATAGAACTCGGATCTTCTTCAGTTCACATTTCATTTGTTTATACATAATCTTTCAAATGCCACCCACCCACCCAGCGGGCTTGCGGAATAGGCCCGATTTTGCGTGGGAAAGAAAATTTTCCGGACCACACAAAACGGCCTGGCCTGCGGCCGCCATCCCGAACACGCTCTACAATACGCGTAACGTAAGTAGAGTGTGGATGGTTTGTGAGATTATATATATGACAATGTCATGAATGTTCACAAGGCAAGAAACTTGCCCATCACCAAATGGAAGAATATTCAGTCTCAGGAAATATTTTTTTTTGCTAAGCTCACGCAAGGTAGGAATCCAACCTTTGTCTCTTGCAAAGTAGCATCGCAACACAAACGCATCTGAGTGAACGTAGCCACATGTCACTGGATTCAAGAGAGTCTTAGTTCTATCATCTAAAGAATTGAACAACACGGGAACAGGTTTTTCCAAGCTTACTCATCTCAATCACTATATCTTTTGCTTCAAAGTTCTTGTGACTGCCATCACCTATCCAATCAGAGTAACCACGGATGAGATGGATTAGACGTTTTATATCGGCTCTCTGCTGACCATAAGCCCATCTCAATTGAGCTTCAATAGGTGAAATATTCGAGTTCTGCTCAAGTGAGTTTGAGTCTCGTAAATTTGCCAGCTGAAGGTTTTCCAAACTAGCTAACGTGCCTGAGTTGTGCATCATCCTTGTCCCCCTCCCCTGTTGAATGAGCTTCATGGAGGAAATATAGCTTGACTCTTTTTGAAAGTCAAACACACCTTGATCCCCTTGTGGCATCTGGGCTTCAAATAATGACTTGCGCCGCTTTGGCCGACCACGCTTTTGGCGTCTCAAGGGGCTCATTGACTGGCCTCTTTTTAAATCATTTTGCTCCAGTCTGCTATCCATTTCCACATCCTGCGTAGTAGATGATCCAGGTTCTGTGTCTTGTTCAGCGCTTCCGTTGAACATGCTCTCAGAGAATCTTCCGGCTTCAGTTTTCCGACGCTTCTGACTTCCAAGACTTTCAACATGCTTTATCTGGCTTGCTGAGAGTCGGACTTCTTGATCCATGAAGTTCAGGACATCACTGATATCGGTGATTTTGGCATGTTCCGGAGGTTTAGCAGGAGTTTGGTATGCCTTAAAGGCTGATGCACTTTTTGAGCTGCCAATATTTGAAGGCAATTCTGTGGGTTGAACAAAATTAGGACGCAACATCTTATCTTTGTGAACTGAGGGGTTGCTTGCTTGATGACCACAATTCTTAAGAATTTTCTCAGCCCATTCATTTGCTTCAGGTTGATCACGTAGTTTGGTCGTTGGAACCGCTTTTTTCAGGAGCAATCCTGGACCCTTGTAAAGACCCTCATCCAAATGTAAGTCACTTCGGTTTGGAGCATATAATTTCCCAAGTCCCAGGTTTCCCGCATGTACCATGGGATATCCATGTTGACTGTCTTGCAAGCCGGAAATTGGAGCTGGTTGAGTGTACCCTACGTGATGATCTTTTGCCTCCTTGCTTCTGGTACAAGGCTTGAAAGCCGGTTGACCGTGCGACGCAGGAAAGATCCACTCTGAATTCGCAGCTTCCCGCTGGCCATATTCGCTTCCTCCAAAGTCAATCAAATTGTTTCTAGGATTATTGCTACATGAGAGTCCCTCCAAGTGTTTCTCAACTTCTTCATCAGTTAGCAATTTGTTCAGGTCTAATCTAGAGCCTAATGATCTTCTGTCGATGACCTTTGATTCTAAAAACCCAAAATTACCAGCGACTATCATATACAGATGAGCAAGAAGGCAAAATGAATAGGGCAATTTCAAAAGACGATTCATGAATGCAGAAGAAGAGAGCTCGAGGAGGTGTGTAGTCAAATTTGATGGGCTTAAAGATGATGCGCTCTCTTCCGGAAGGAAAATATCAATCGAGACAAACCACTATGTCGAGATCTTTCGACGATGGTTGTCGATCAGCCCTACTTGGAGTTGGATGTGGCAAGAGTCAAATGCTGTAACTGCAAGCCATGTGTTTCTATGTACGGGGCATGATCGCCTGCCTATGCCCTCCGCAGGCTCCAGAGGATAAGGATCAAAGGTTAAGTTAGCTGATGGACGACATCTCGAAGCAGCTTCTGATGATCCTGATGTTTTGTACCATCAACCCATTCAGAATTCTCGTTGCACTCAAGATATCAGCTGAGAACTTTAGATTCACTCTCTACGTCAGCTTATGAGGCGTGAAGGACCGTTTCCAGACGTCGGACCGCCGTTTGGAGCATTCGCAGAGTGGGCGGCTTCGACGTCGCCCTACATGTATTTAACATACCGCGTCTGGACTCTGTATTTTATATCCACAAACGCGACTTGAAGTCTTTACTTGAACTCCCTTTCTTCACATCCCTCACACCCTCCCAATCAAGCCCTTTCGAAAGATGGACGCCCCAACTCCACGTATCAACTCTTCGATGCTCCCTAATTACAGTTGAGTCTCAGGAAAGTCTCTTTTATAGCCAATCAACCTACTCAATTTGTTTTCGCATACCCGTATCCTCGGAAACAATAGTAGGAAGAGTGGTTCGAATCTCAGGAAAACTTATCAGTGTAAGTTCAAAGATCATTCAAGATTTAATGGTTTGAGATGAAGACAACGTTTATTGACTCTGCTCTCGCACACAGCTCCAAACCGAAGCGGTCATTGAATCGACTGATGGTGGTCAGATTACAGTCATTGTTGCACCGGTTAGCTTTCTGCGTTCGTTTTTGTGATAATTGATCAACAAGCTAACTTCTTCAACCGCATAATGTCTTTCATCCATCTCAATCTTTCGATTCGTTGACCTTCGTGTGAATCTCCGAACACTTGCGACCTCAGAACTCTCTCATTGGCTCAGACACCTTTCTCGAAATCATTGGGAAGGTTGAATCAGATAATACCATCAGAGAAATGGACACTTGCAATTTTGGAGAAAACTATGGTAAACCTATTCGTCATGAAATTCAATCATCTCAGATCCAATGTTTCTTGACTCAATGACCCTTCTGTGTGTTTTTAGATTTACAATTGGCACAAGCAGTTGTTGAGATAACCAATAATCCGATGTTTGTTAGCAAACAACACCCCTGCTTTGATCTTTCTTAACAATTTAATCATCAGAATCGAAAATCGATTGAGAAAGTCTCTTATATTAAAGAAGGATATCTAAATGAAAAGTTGTGTAGGATATCTGCTATGTAAATCAGTCTTGAAATATTTTTCCTTCAACATTTATCTTGCTTTCTCAAGGCCGACATTCTCACCCTCCCTGATTTGGATCCGAAATCGCTCAACACATACATTCGTAGCTGTGTGATATGTCACCCACGTCTCTTTGATCAGCTATTCTAACAGACCGCACCAGACTTATCTTTAGGATTACCAACTAATCCATAAGTAGGACGCAGTAAAGATTTAGGTATGAAATTCAGGTGACATCTTGTATATCTCAATGATCCTTTAGTTTTCTTATGATGGAAAGAATGCAGATATTTCATGTACATGCAATTTGTAAATAAGCTCAGTTCGATCAAAGCAACGAGTTAAAAGTTACTGGCTTTTTTCTGGTAAGATTTGTGAGAATGTGTTTGAGGTTTTTGGTTGCAGATTAGAAGTGAATGTATGCGAGAGTGGTGTGGTGAAGACCGGTGTGACTCTGTGACAGCTGATCCTGGATGTCACAGAAGATGTGAGTGGTTTCACAGATAAAGTTCAAACCAAGATGGGTTAGGTTGAATTGTCTCCGAGTTGATCCGTCTGAAAGTGGAATTAAGAGTTTTAAAGTTGAATTTAGTTAAGTCTGATTGAACTTGAGAGTAATACTGACTGACTGGGATCCCACTGGTGCATTCCGATCATCGATTTGAATTTGACCAGTACCACCATCTCAAGTTTATCAACTCAATCCATCACAATGGCTCTCTTTAGACCTACTTCTCGTCGTTTGGCATCAAGTTTATCATCTCCAATCTTATCTCAATCTCCTCGTCTTTTATCGGCAACTAGGTAAGTCGAATTATACCAGACAACTTTTACAATTTAAACTGATTTCTCATCTTATCGTATCGAAAAGCTATAAGACTGATTGACTAACTGAACACTTTTTTTCCACAATTTGTTTGATTTTGCATCATAGATTCTCTTCTACCTCTGCTGGTGGGTAATATGATACGATTTAGTTTGAAGAAAAACCGATGAGCTGATGAGCTGATCAATCTCCTATTTTATCGACACTCTTGAAAACTATATTGAAATCAGCCGACCCAAAAGCAAAGGCAAACTCTTTCTTAGATGCACTTCCAGGAAACAGCGCAATCACCAAAACTGGTTGGGTTACATTAGGAACTAGCTTAAGTGCTTATGCTATCTCAAATGAATTATACGTGATGAATGAAGAAACTGTGATCTTGGCTAGTTTTTTCGTTATGATCGGTTACCTTGGAACAGTAGTTAAAGGGCCTTACAAAGAATGGGCTGATTCGACTATTGAGGTATGATCCTACATTTACTTCAGTCTACTGGACCTGATGGCAAGATCGCTCCTCAAAACTTAAGGAAAAACGCTCATTATCTACCTTTCTTGTCTGATCTTTCAAATTTACAACCTTTAGAAATACAAAAGCATCTTGAATGCTTCCAGAGCTGAGCATACCAATGCTGTCAAGGACCGAATTTCTACTGTCAGTGAAATCAAAGACGTAGTCTCGGTCACCAAATCCTTATTTGAGATTTCACGTGTAAGTTGAAGACTTAGTTTCACAATGATCAGCTTTTGATTCTTCATATTAACGGAAAATGACGTTTGGTTTGACAGGACACCGCTATGACAGAACATGAAGTTTACAAGCTTAAACAAAAGATGGCAGTCAAAGATGAAATCAAATCTATCCTAGATGGATGGGTTCGTGTTGAAACTCAAGCTAGAGAAGCTGAACAAGCTGAATTAGTCAAGACAGTAGTTGCCAACGTTACCAAGCAACTTGAAGATCCCAAGTTCCAAAAAGAAGTCATGGCCAACAGTGTGGCCGAGATCGAAGGTATGCTGTGTTTTATATAGGATTACCTCTCCACTATGATCTTCATGAAATGGTGATCTTACATTTTACTTTTCTGTTGTATTTGCTTATAGCTTTGATCCGAGACAAGAAAATTTAAAGAACTTCAATACTTAGTCACTCTCGAAAGCCTATCCAAATCAATGAAGATGTAGTTATACTGCACCTATATTCTTGTGAATCTGATAACAAACAACTATGACAAATTGGGCTTTTAGAAAAGAAACAAACAAACAAAGCCTGTTTCCCTTGTGAGTAGGATGTCGACGCCTCATAAAGGATACGAGCCCATAAGCGATCTACCTCACCGCGTGTGATTGAGTTTTGAAATATGGTTTCTTGGGCAAGAAACGCATATACCTTGACCGTTTTGGAATTTATTCAAGATGAATTATGGGCAAAATTCGGACTTCCTTGGGTGAAGATGTGTGCTCGGGAAATCCAGAGTTGGGAATCAAATCCCAGCAGTAAGTCACATGTTGACAATATATTCGACCCACCCCAGCCAATGAATTCTGAGGGCGTGTAAGTACACGAGTCTGGATGTGGGTGGACACTGACAGTCTGAGGTTGACAGTGTGGAAAGCAAAAATGGATATTGAGATCACAAGACCTGAGCTGATCTTGCGAAAAAAAATAACGAAGTTGATATTAAGATCTGAGCCCCGACCTTGCAATTTAAGCAAGTGATCATGTCCTCTGTCATCCTCATCATCTGGACTTTTGCCGTCGGACTGTTGGTGATAATCAAGTGAACTCTTCCACGGTTGTGAGCGGCTTTGGGTCCTGTGCAAAGGATTGAGCTTTTGATGAGTTAATCTTGATATTAATAATGATGAACGGGGTCAGCTGAGTTCATTATATTGACAAATGCTGGAAGCTGCTCGAAGAGGTCATGTGAGCTTTACGTGATGATTAGGAAAGCTAATATATTCAGCAAAAGGAAAACAGGAGGCTAGATCGCAAGGTAGTAGGTACCCTGCTGGAGACCCGAGAGACCATGACCACTTGCTTGGTGCGCAAGGTCAGGTCATGTGATCTCAACATCAACGTTTACTTTCCCTCGTCAGATTCGCGCGCACTCACACACCCTCAGCGTTGATTGCCTCATTTACTGGGGTAAGTTGAACCGTTTAATGTCAAAGATCACTCAGGTGATCAAGTTGAGGTCCAATATAACAGAGGTTCTAGAGCACTTAACAACATTCGCAGTAAAGCTTACTTGTTTTTTTTTTGAGAAACAGTCAGTTGACTTGAATTGAACTGGATTGATTCATTTGAAGTTGATTAACTCGTCATCTCGGTTGTTAGTTAGTGCTTCAGCGAACGCGTCAACAATGTCAGGTGATCAACATCAACATCCATGAGAAAACCTTTATCAAAAGAAAACTAAACATGACCAATTTGGGCATATATAAAAACCTCCTTATCAGCCTTTTATCCTTCAGATATCTAATTTTCCCCATACTTCATTTTACCCCGGATTTGCCAATCAATCAACCAATTCATTTGATCAACTCAGAAACACAGACCCCAGAAACACGCTTTTGAATCTTTTGCTCTGATCAACACCATTTTATTTGAAATCAAACAAATCTTTTCTATAAAGAATAATTCCTCAAATCAAAGTCATGGGTTTATTAGGAGTTTCCGAAACAAACTTTGCAAAAAATATTAGACCACAAACTACAATGTAAGTACAAACTCATCAATCCTTTTTTCATATTCCAAAGTTCTTTTATATAATAATTTTCTAACTGGACAGACTTATTCTTCCAAAACGGCGGGTTGCTTTTCCAATAGGTTTACTTCTAATATTTCAAGACAACCCAGCACGATCAGAAAGATTATCAGTTCAACTCCACTTCAAAAATTAGTCAATCGAAAAACTCTCAAAAGACAAACCAGATCACAATTCACAACAAACCCACGTCCAACATCAATGACAGCACCATTATTATCAACCAACGTGAGAGTAGGAATGACAGGTTATACACAACTTGTTAGTTCTAATGAAAATCAAGCTAGAAGGTCTGAAAACCTCTTGGATCAAAGACTTCCTGTTTATGAAGAAAATAGACTCGTTGTTGGGGTTGGGATGGTCTTTATTCAAGAGTTTAATGATACGATTGGAGAGATTGATTTCGATCAATGGGCTAGATTTTGTATGTGATTCTTTGACTTCAAGATAAGAACTGTAAGCGGATTCCTTGAATTATTATGTGTGTTGATTTTCACTATACTGATGATTTGATTATGATTCCGTTAAAAAAGTATCCTAAATCTTTAAATCATATGAAGTACTTTTATGAACTCTCTCAAGTTTCAACATCCTTGCATCTTCAAATCCAACGAGTTTTTCCTCCAATCCTCACCATGATTTCTATATCCACCAATTCAATTATTCTTCAAACATTTGCGCGAAAACAAATTGATCATTTCTTTCATTTTTATTTTTCCATTTTTTCAAAGTAATGTGAATTGTTGTACAAACACAGACTTTTCACATGTGTCTATGATATATACCTAAATTTCTCACTTTTATATCTTTTTAACAGACACTCATTTCAATTCAATCCTTCAAGAACAATACCTGTAATTCTAATCATAGCGTCAATCCATGGACAGTTGTATTCTTTTTTTGGTTCTGATCTCTTTTCTCATTATACCAGTGGTGATTAATGTTTTCATTGTATCTTGATGATTGTATCTCGATGATATTTTATTGCGCCACATTTCAATGAAATTATCAAGTCTATTCGCTGCTTCGCAATCTTTTTTGAAAAAGTTTCAAGTCAAACAATATAGTTTGACAACAAACATACATTCGAGCTTCTCCTCTCACAAGACTCCGGCACTGACAACTCATTAGTATGATCAAACCTTTGATGCTTTATACACGAGAAACCAACGCTCGACTTCCCAACTTGAATAGCTTTTGTAACTCTAAAACACTTTGCTCAATCGTTTCTTTTCATTTCTGTTTCTTATATTTTTATACAATTTTTAAACAAGGGAGAAAACACACACATACAGCTCGAACAACAAAACCATCACACCTCATCTATGATCAGGTATCTCTAAGAGACAACCAGAAAATGAACGGAATCAAGGATGAAAAGTTCAAAACTAAATGATGATCATAAGAGAAAGAAAAATGTTCCCAAGAGGCGCATTTAGTTGAAAGAAAGAATCAAAAACACGCTGGAAACTATGATATCAAATTGATGTGAGAGAACTGTGATTTAGGAAAGGAAAAGTAACGAATACACCAAGGAATTAGAAAGAGATAGAGACTGGCTTAATTGGCTGCTCGATCCCTAGCCACTAGCTCTGCATCTAAATCCTCTGCTGGGTTATCATCTACCGGGCTTGTGTTGACAGCCCCATTCAATGCTGCGGTGGCAGATGAAGTTCCACCATCTTGAGGGGCATCTTGTGTAGTTGGAGAACCCATCACTACTTCTCTCGAAGGGATAGGAAGTCTGGACAGCCCAAAAGTCGTCGCTCAATCAGTAAGGCGCTAGTATGGCTTGTATCGAAACAGTGTTCAAACTTCACTCACGCTTCTCTCCTGATCTGCTCTCCTTGTCCGCTATTCTGTCGTGAGGTAGCATTGGGCCGGACCATTCGACGGAAACTTGTTACTTCCTCAACAATTAATCGTTTCATGCCTTCTGTTGAGTCTTCTGCCTCAAAACCGAAATCGAATCTCTCTTGGCAGTCAATCTCATCTGCCGGGTCGTGCCATACAGCAAGGTATGGGTGTCGAAGAGCTTCGTTGCAGGTGATCCGCTCCGAAGGGTCAAATGAAAGTAACTTGCTGAGTAAATCAAGTGCTAGTGGGTTGGCATTGGGGTAAAGTTGGTCGAATGGTACTCCGGGCTTGTGAGGTAATGATCGGATGTAGTCTTGAGCCTGACCACAGATTTAGAAAAATTCGGCTTTGTCAGAAGTGTTGTTGTATGGTAAACACATGGTAAAAGAACAAATCTCACCCTAGGAGACCCAACCCGACGAAGTGTTTGTTCAGAAGGTGTTCCAAGGTAGTGTAGAATCTGATTTAGCTGGTCAACGTAATCTCTGCCCTTGAAGATCGGTCTTCCACCAAGAAGTTCAGCCAGAATGCATCCCACGGACCACATATCAACTACAACACAAGAATCGAGCGATTAGAGGATTCACATTTTGATGAAAGTGTTCTTATCCAGTTTCTAGTCAAAACTTTTAACTTACTGGCAGTTGTGTAGTTCTGAAAGCTGAGCATGATTTCGGGGGCTCGATACCACCGAGTTGCAACATACTCGGTCATGAAGCCTTGATTAGATGCCTGAGCAAGTGCCGGATCGGTCTCGAACCCTCTTGCTAAGCCAAAGTCGCATATTTTCAGTTCACAATCTGCGTTGACAAGCAAATTGCCAGGTTTGAGATCCCGATGTAAAACTGATGCTGAATGGATGTACTGAAACCGGCGAGCAAAGTCTTATGGTCAGTTTGTCAATAAAGTGAAGGTGGGAGCAATTTATATATTCACTTTCAAACCGCACAGTGTTTGGTAGATGAAGGATTGAAAGTGTGCATCGGAGAGCGGTTGGCCTGATCGGATCTGGGTATCAAAAATCACTAGTGTCAGCGAAGAATCAAGAATGGAGGTGGTAGAAATCTGTAAACGACGAACGATTGCATGAAGATCGGCTTCCATGAGTTCCTCCTGTGAAGATCAATTCCGGGTTTTCACACATCGGGAATCAGCATCATGGTTTCTCTGATTTTGTATGTGTGACTACAGAGAATTGGATATGTGCTCACATAGAGATAGACCTCAGTGAATGTGTCAGGACTGATGATGTCCATGTCATACAAGCAAGTGATCTAGATTATGATTCAAATCAATTATCAAATCTGACTCCTACACTTGATGACAGTTGGTTAACTCAAGCCTCACATTTTTGTGGCCACGGAAATGGTGAAGGAGCCTACAAGAGGAGGATATTAGATACAGCTGTATGATGAGCATCGAAAATATTGAGATACTCACTTGAGTTCTCTCAGGGCCCGTTTGGTCAATATCTTCTTGGTAAAAATCTTGGTGACCTGTTGTTGGGAAAGATTGTGATATGCATGTTAGTTTGACTGGCTTATTTTCTCATGCGATCCACAATGAACTATGGGCAACACGGCCCGAAGTATGTGGAGCGCAGGATAATTAGTACAAGCGGAGTGTCGCAACACGTACTTTCTTGATCGCCACACTCTCACCCGTCCTTTTGCTCTTCGCGGCGCTGGGCAAACAGAAACAATATCAGTTAAGTGTTGATCGCTAATAACCGCTGTACGGTAATCTTTCTCCTCATACAGATCAAAATATTTGAGGACTCACCATACTACGCCATATGCACCTTGTCCTAACTCCTTGATGAATTCATAGTCCTCATCCACAAAAAATTGATCCTGTGAAATGAAGCAAGCGGATTACGGAAGTTGGTCAATCAAGTAGCTCTACCAGGACTAAATAAGGAATATAGGACATAAATGCGGGGTTAGACTAACATTCAGGACTGGAAAAGCGTGTCTTCGGGGTGCGGCAAGATCCATCTTTTTGGTAAAGAGAGACATGAGAATTTGATCAAGGCTGACTGATTATGAAATGTATATATCAACGCACAAGAAAATGAGAAATGTACGATTGATAAGGTGATGAATGCTATTGACAATCGAGATAAAGTGATTGAAGTTTTGAACAAGGTCGGTGTAGAGGAAGCCTTCAGATAGTGAAAGCTGAGCGCCTTTTTAATGCTGGGATGTTGAAAGCTTTTCCAGTGCGAAGAGTCGGGTTGTGAACAGGATTAAATTAGATTAGATTGGTAGATGGGTTTGATCGATTCGATTCTTTTATGGTAGCAGTTGTCGAGCCTCGAGTCCTTCGACTTGAACTTGACCACTCACGATCGATGAACTCAAGGGAATAGGTTATGTACCGGCTTCTCCAAGGACCGATACCGTAGCAGCGATCGGAGTATTAACATTTCGAATTCTGGGATACCACACAACTATTCCCCCCACCACACCATCTTCAAAGTTGCCAACACTTCGGTAATTTGATTCTGCCGGTGGAACTCAGCATGGTTGTCAAGTTCCTATCGTTTCACTGTCCACGCTGTTTCTCTCTTGCGAGCTCGCTCTTTTTTCTGCTTAAAGAGAGGGACTTGATTGAGTTCATGTACAATGGACACACACTTTTGAAAGTTTTGCAGAGCTATGAATGAAAAAAGCTCCTTCATTGAACAACCTACCTCCTCCGTCGGTCTCGGAGGAGAAATTTTGTCAAGGGCCAGATGTGCAAAGTGGCAAACTTTCAAAGAGTACAAATGGTGCAAGGACCTCCTATCGGCTTTTCATCATGAAGGCGCCGATGATACTCTGTTGAGTTCACCCCCACATGGTTCACCTTCCTCCTCACACATGAGTTTGCGACACATGACATAATTTGGGAATTAACATGGCAACAGCCGTCAATGACATCACGCGTAATCAAGTGTTAAACCTCAGCCAGATTTTTCGTGCAAAATTGCTCACATGTTGCATTTGATGAAAAGTTACCAGATTTTTGACAAGGCTCAGTATGTACCTAGCTCCGTGTTAAACCTATATTACTGTCTGCTGAACCAATATGTTGAAGTCTCAACTTCACCGTCGGGCTAAGAAGAGTCTCCTCCCCCGCCTCAAAATCTTCATAACTTACACTACCACTGCAAACCTATGTACCTGAAGAAATCATAAAGTGCTCTGATGATCAATCCCCACGTATTTTTTCGAATGAAAACATAGTTCCAAAAGCCAATTGTGCAAAATTAACTTTAGGATGGTCCAGACTTCAGGTTCAGACTGAATTGATCGAGTGCCCACCTTGTCCACTCTGGTGTAAATTCTTCAATCACTGGACTCTTTTTCTTCCCAGATTATTGTAGCACAGATGATGTGCTTCTTCTACTTCTTCATAATATTCTACCAAGTTTATAATTCAGGCAATTTTATATTAATATCACCGTTCTATCCTTTGTATTTCTGCTTTTAAATATCATCACATCATCCTTTATGAATCCGCCGCGTCTATAAAATTGCGTCAACTATGTAAAGTAAATATAACAGCTCGGGATTATAGGGGTTCTTATCTCCGAGAGCAATATAAAAACCGCAATCAAAACCCTATCAAAATAGCTCTTATAGAAAGGTATGTTGATGACATTTCAATCAACAAAGTGGGGTGATTTGAGATGAGTTGATGAATTTCTGAAGAACACTTATTTATGTATCTACATCATCTCTCATTAGAAATCTTTATGAGTATTCAACGACAAAGTGGGGTGATTTTATAGATTTCTCAATACAAACCAATTTGTTACTGTGATATATTCGCGTGATCATGAAATCTTTCCTTTTGATTTGGGGTGAGTACCACTCCAACTTATGGAAGTAAGAAAAGGAAAACAAATGCCGCGTTAATAAATAGGTTATTTCTGTAGTGTTGGGTAAAAACGAGGTTTCCAGTTGTTAAAGCTTCTAAAGTTCATTCCCCTGATTCCAATTGCTTTTCCTAGTGCTTTCACTTTGACAATAGGGGGTTTCAAGTCAATAAATTTACGGTATTTTACAGTCCAACAAGTTGTCCGATGTTGCAAAATATACCGTAAAATTAAAAAAGTCGTGACACCTTTTTAGGTGTCCCGAATGCTGTTGACCGTATATTTGCAGAAAAAAACCCACCGTAAAATTTAAAAAACTTGTCCGTTTTTTAAAAAGTTTCACAAAAAATTTCTGACTTGAAACCCCCTAATATCACCATAGTATTATCGTGACACCACATATGTTCTTTATCCTGTTCATCCAACACTACTTCTTTCTATGACTCCTCATTATCGAGTAAATTCTCTGAATTCTTTTACGTATCTTACATGTCCCGATATTGAATATATGACGGCCTATGGCTGCTTATGAGGATCCTTCCAAGCTCAGCAGAATGTGTTAGGTGAAGCACACGACGCTGTCTCCCCTGATTTGGTAGCGATCTGGAAGAAAAAATAATGAAGATGTTTGTTGATTCCATCAGGTTACAACACTTGACATATATAAAGTCTTCACCATAGCTTTCAGTGGCATCATCCAGAGTCAAGGTCTTATGACTCCATCATGATGTTTTTTTCCCTTTGTCCATCATTTTCGAAAGTCTTGCAAAACTTGTTGTACACCCACCCACTTTGGTAACCGTTGTGTCAGCGTGACATGTGCGACCAACTGCATACCACCAAAAAGATGCAGTGTTTAAACCAAATTGCAACAAAAGTTACACCCACATCTTTGAACATATACCTTCAAAAATCATGTGCATTCTCTAAAACGACTTCCAATAGGGGATCTCAAGTATCTAAGTGTTTTCCAGTGCTTGTTTTGAATTTTCCCACTACTTGAACGTTTCAATTTTTTTTCTTCAAGTGCTTAATTGCTTAATTGCATATCTATTTAAACAGTTAGATGGAAAGAACTAGCACATCCTTACAAGCCGGCCATCTAGTCAAACCCGGAGTTTGTTTTGTCTTTTGATCCCTCTACCACTCTTTGGTTCTTCTTTCGATCCAAATTGTTGATTTGGTGTGACATAATGATCAACATCTTCGTAATGTTTAAGTTGGATGTGAAAGCTCAGGCCCACCTAGCTAACAAATGAGCAGAGGCCAGTGCCAAACAAGCAGTGCTCAAAGCAACTTCTACATTGTACATTAGGGTGTGGTAGAAACCCAAAAGCAAACACAGTTGTTTCAAAACAGAGTTTTCATCTGTTTTGATCTGTTCTTAACTTCTTATGTCCTGCTTTCTCCCCCCTACATACGTTCCCGCGTGTACGTGGGAAACTCAATCCAAGCAGAAACCATGGCTCCTCGCGCACCGATATGGCGCAGGCTGTTGGTTGGTGCGTTTGGTCAGATAGCTGCTGGATCCCGCGCCAGGCCTTGCTCGAAAAAGTCCAACCTGATATCCCCTATCAATGGGACTTGTTTTACCAAAAGGGGTGAACAGTAAATCATAGACAAAAAAGGGAAATGTTTTCAAAGCTAGGCTCTACGCTTTTATAAACAAGTCTTTTCACATTTCACATGTAATCCGAAATTAATCATCATATGCACATATGTATAGAGATATTCACATGGAAGATGGGATTCATGTGACTGCTTCTTTTTTTTGGAGCTAACCACATGAAGTCAAATTATGTGCATTTCGAAGATCATCATGTATTTCATTTTTGAGGAATTTTGTTCATGAATCGTGATGAGATTGAGTGTAGATTGGGAAAACGTTTCCGGATTCTTCAACAGGTCTACTTGAGTTTAGACAATTTGAAGTGTCAAAGAGGCAATGGCATAATCTATCAAAAGGTGCTAAATGATCAGCCAATGAAACAAGTATGAAGCAGAAGTGATGATGGAATTCATCAAAAGGGTCCATCTGATGAGTTCCCTTGACGGTTGACCAGCCTTGACCACCCAGTTTGAGAAGGTGTCAAAAAGCGTGTACGATTGTGAGAATAGAAGACCTTGTTTAGCATGGTCCGATTCACTCAAGAGTGAGTTTAACTTGTGGATGTTGTATGACTATGTATGTACATATCACTTAAATTAGGTGATCAGGGTTGAATTGAATTATGTAATTTTCTTTGGAAAGTGGCAATTTGTATTTTAGAAAGTTTTCTGATTTGATTGCTTCAAGTTTAGATCATCATCAAAACCATCAAAACCATCAAAATGCTACATCATAACGATTTACTATTACATTCAGCTTCATCTACTACTCTATCATCACCTTCCTCACCTTCAATCATTCATCATCATCATCAACAACAACCATCCTCAATTCATCATTATCATCAACAACAACAACAACATCATCATCATGATCTTAAATCGACTACCAATTCATCTCATTCCACTCATTCATCAGTCTTGGATTGGAATGAATCTCAAGTTAATCAATTCTTCATCTCTTTGGGTTTAACTAGATTCGAAACTCCAATCAGAGGTAAGATCTTCTTGACTGCTTTCATATATCTAAATATTGATACTTCATTTCTCATCTTATAGAACATGCTGTCACTGGTGATGTTTTGATTCATCTTGATAATGATCTCTTGAAAGATATGGGAGTGAATTCAGTTGGAAAAAGGTTAACATTGCTTAAAGCGGTTTATAAGTTGAAATTAAAAGAAGATATTCCAATTGATGAAGGACAATGGGTACCTCCTTGTTAGTCTTTTGCTTTTCTTTCAAGAGCTCTATACTATCTTACTAACTTGATTTTTATCTACATCCCAACAGCTGGAGATGTCGATTTGGATGAATTTGATGAATCACTCTCATCCTCTTCTCAATCAAATGCTTCACAGCATTATTCCATCATGCGACTCATTCAATCAAGAGATCATAAAATTAGTCTGCTTGAATCTGAGATTAAATCTATCAGACTTGATCTTCAAGCGTTTCTTACTGCAAGTTCAACTCATCAAACTCGTCAAGTTGTTCCAAGTAATCCACCTTCTCCTATCACCACATTCGATGGTGATCGTCATCCTCGAGATGAACCTTCATCTCAATCCGCTAATCCTGATCAATCTACTCGTTCACCCCGTCTAGAACTTTGTAAGTTTTCTTCGTGATATTTGAGCCTTCTCATCTTCTCACACTGACATCCCTTTTTCATGACAGCACCTCCGTCTGATCCTACGCTAAGCCGATCACTGAGTTTGAAAAAACTCACAGGTCGTTCGATCAACACAACAGACCAAAACTCATCATCTTCCACCTCAACCACACCTACCAACGATTCCAATCCGATCCAAACTCAAACTAATCTCATCCCGATCCCTAACCCAAACCAAGCCTTATCTAATGCATTTCCAAGTCCTAATCCATCTCAACTCATTCCTCATCCAACTCCGACTCCCAAAGAGTCAACGCTAACTTCAACTTCACCTACAAGTTCAAAAGAAAAAGAAATTCATAATCCTTATAAGAGTTTCAGGGTCACACTTGAAGATCCTTGTTATAAGGTTCTTCCAGCTGCTTTGAAGAAGTATAAGATCAAGGAACATTACAAGAACTATGTTTTATTCATTTGCTATGGAAAACAAGGTAAGGGTTCAATCTCATCCGAATGTATCATGTCAAATCCATTACCTCGGTATGGTCATTTGAAAGCCTGTTAGAGATTTACTGACTGTCCTTTCTCTGATCCTTCAGAACGATGTCTATCCTACGAAGAGAAACCGTTGTTATTGTTCCAGAAACTGAAGGAAGCAAATCAGAACCCAGTCTTTACACTTCGACATATCAAAGACATCGAATCTCCCATCTCTATTGCACTTTCTAAACAAGCCCAACGTCGTGATCAAATCCAAAAGAAGACCGCCGCTGGAGTAGGAGCTCCAAAGGTTAGCAAAAGGGCAGGTGCAAATAATGTGGGAGCGGTGGAACCGACTACAGGATTCTGTGTAGCGATTTACCCTTATATGTCGGAAGGTGAAGAAGATTTTGATGTGGGAGTTGGTGATACGTTTTTGATTGTTGGAAAGGTAAGTCGAACTTGATTTTGATTTGATTTAGTGACACCTGCTTTTGAAACTGATTTAGATGAATCCATCTTATTTTTCTTTTCTAGTCAAAAGGATGGTGGGTCGTACATCGAGATGATGGAGATGGAAAGATTATTGAAGATAAAACACCAGGATGGGTTCCATCTGGATGTGTACTTGAAACTAAACATTCCTTTTCGACTTCCAGAATCACTTATTCAACTCCGATCTTACCTGGACATATCTTGAGTGTTTCGAGTTGTACAAACGCATTGATGGATTATAAAGCTAAAGGTGCTGATGAATTAAGTTTGACTCAAGGTGATTCACTGAGGGTTTACAAAAAGTTAGTTTTCGTTTTCGTTTTCACTATGTTTTCTGAATGTTATGACATGATGAAATTAATATTTTTCTTTCGTTTGGTTTATAGGTATAATAATTGGTCTTATGCAATTAATGAAAGTCATCCAGACAAATCAAGAGGTTGGACTCCATCTTGGTTAGTTGGAGGTAGAAAGGAATCCGGTTCGAGTACGACGTCCGGTAGTACTACTACTTCTTCATTAAAACCTCAACCGTCTTGTTCAAGTTTAAATACGATCACCAAAGAATCCATCTTAGGTGGTAGTGGAGTTGGTTCTTCTAATTTAGAGATCAATGAAACTAGTCAGGTTAATAATCTTACACCTGAAGTTGGAATCGAATTGGGTGTGAATTAAGGTTCTAAAGACAGGGGGTTTGATCTTTTTTTCTTTTTTCCTTTTCCTTTCTTTTCATTTTTTTCTTTTGCTCCTTTGGGTTTGACTTTTTTTTCTGCTTTCATTCTTTTTTTTGTCGTCGTCCTTTTCTTTATTTTTTTATTCGTTTAGAAAACCCACCAAACGATATATATTTTATGATTTCTTACAATTTTTAGCAAAGCAAAAGAAAAAGAAGTGATTAGTGTTTTTTTTTTCTTTTTTCTTTTTCTCTTTTTGATATCTATATATCAATGGGTTTTTTTAACAATTAACAACAACAAAAAGAAAACACCGAAAAAAAACATAATCTTTTAAGTTTTGTATTTTGTAAAGAAACCTCTAAACCACATCCAAAAAAAAACAAACATAATTTAATTCTTTTTTTTATGATTATCTTTTTCTTGATTTTTTGTATTTAAAAAAATGAAGCTTCATTTATACATTTTTCAAAAAAAAAAAGTTGTTGTAAATATAGTTTTGAGTTTTTTTTTCATTCATTCATTCATATATATACATCTATATCTATATCTACATCTCTATCTAAATGGAATAAAACCCTTGAAGTTGATTTTTTGGAAAGGGTGTGGTGCTGCTGCTGCTGGGTTTTTTGCAATTCAAGACATGAAAGATTTGAAGTTTGCATTTTTTCAATTGATTGTACAGAGATTGGATGAGGTCCTACTATGTTGAGCAGCATAGGAAAGTTTCTTGGAACCTGAGCCTTGAGAGTCAAGGCAAGTTTGCTTGGTCTGGGCTGTGTGAGTCAAGGTATTTTGGTGGAGAGACTTGTCATACTTATGAAACTTTTCTAATTTTGTGTAATTTATTGGAGAATAGAAACTTTTCGTGGACTTTTCTTAGATGGACATGAAAGTTGAAAAAAACCCAAGGAAGTTGATCTTGAAGGCTTTTTAAATCTGACTGTAGAATGACTGAGCCTAGGAGACAAAACCTGAGTCAGAAATTCTTTTTGCCTTTTGTCCTGGCTGGTTTCATAGATATGTTTTCAGCTCCAGTGAGTTCTTGAATTGTCGTGGGTAATCATGCATGAGCTGAAGTAGTTTACTAATCATGATTGTTTTTCATTTATTTGTTTGTGTTTGGAATTGGTTCTTGACTATTTGTCATAAGTTCTGAAATACTTTCAATGTGCTTACATATATCATAAAGAGTGAGGATGTAGCTATTACAAAAGTTAGTTGATCCCTTCATCAAATATACATTCAGGATTGGTAATACCAATATGTATCATGGCATTGTGAAGAGACATCTGTAGATTCACATGATGAATGGTTCAGTGTTGGGAATTGGGTTCCTTGTGTTTCTTTTCAATAGTTAAAGTATGTCTACAAAAGTTTCACAAAAAGTTTCTTTGGTCCAAGAACTTTCACAAATATGTGGCAAAGTTCTATAAGGATGACAAGTCTCTCCACCAAAAGCTTTTGACCCTCACAGGTGTAATTCCGGAACTTCTTATTTCCTTCTTTTTACTTTTCTATCTTTTGTAAAACGCTTTCGGAAAAGCCTTACGACTTTTCCTGCAAGTGTCTTTTCCTTTTTCTATCATCTCATAATCATCATAATGGTCTACTATCTATATTCGGGATTTATTCCTAAAATCCCTTGACTTGTATCTTTTCCAAACTCGGATTCCTCTAAGCAGAATCCTCTCGTTGTAAACTCTCAAGTTGTACTTTCCTTTTTCAGTCTCTAGTGTTTTTCAAAAACACTTATAAAGAGGATCCACTTCTCGCTGAAATGAATCCTCAAGTCACTTCGCTTACATTTTCAAAAGCACCTGATCCTGTAAGAATCACAAATAATTATTTGTGTGTTTTTTTTAAATCGTTACAAGTCTTTATAAAGTCTAACAAATCTTTTCCTATCTCTTATTTTTCGAAAGACCGATTACAAGTTTCCAATAGATCCCACAGAAACCCTTCCTTCGAAAAATAACCCCAGAGATTAGATTCCTTAGTCTTATCGTTTCAAAACAAAGAAAACACTTTTTATCAAACGTGAATAAGATTCCTATTTTCTTTCTCACGTATCGTATTAGTCTTTTTCTTTGGACCTCAGTCCTCTTTAATTCCTGATCAGTCTTAAGAACGACTCACGGTTGTTAACCCTTCTTGTAACAGAAACACCAAGAACCCAAAATGTCATCACCAATGATGAACAGTACGGACGGTTGAATTCCCGCCCAACAAGAAGATAGGGATCGAGTGGACCTCTCGTTCCAACAACAAGCTCAAAGACTCGCAGAATTAGAGAATGCGGTCGGACAACAATCGCATCAACATGAGCGAATTACCAACGAACTGGTAAGTGCACTAAACACTATAAGAGAATTACAAACTGAAATATATAGCTTAAAAAATGTACGTACAAACCGACAGGAGCCTAGAATTGAGGCCTTAAAAGTGGAACCACGCAAGTTCACAGGATATGGCGATAATCCCGACCTTTGGATTACCGAGATTGAGACCAATTTCGCGTCTCAAAACTACCCAGTCACCCGCTGGACCGAACTCATCATCAACTTCTTAGATGAAGACGCCCGATACTTTTGGCATGAACTCGTTAAGAAGAGTGATGGACAAATCCCATCATGGATTGTCTTTAAAACCAAGTTCTTTGAAAAGTATAATTACTCCCTCGTATTATATGAAGTTCGACAACAACTGAAAGCCCTTTATTACAAATCTGATATAAATGATTATATCCTTAGGTTTCGGAAGTTGGCCGTCAAGATCCCCGACGAGAAACTACCTTTCTTTGAAAGACGTTTCTTATTTCAAGATAAATTACCGGCTAGTTATCAACAGGACCTAAATAAAGTTGATTTAACTAACGAGGATATGGAGGTACTTTACCAAGCTGCTCGAGATTGTGAAAGAAATAACAAACTGACTCGAAGTGGTTTAAATTCTACTCATCACTCAAACCATCACAAATCACCCAACCACCATCGAAACAACTTCAAGAACCATAATAATTATGGTAAACCCCATGCGACCACCGCCACTACATCCATGAGCGCTCCTATGGATCTGGATAACATAGACATATCTAAGGTAGAGTGTTTTAAATGTCATAAATTTGGTCATCGCGCTCGAGAATGCCGATCAGGAAACAAAACTAATTGAAGACCCAATCTAACCTTGTTGGATCTCACCTCCAATTCCGAATCACAGGACAACCCAGAAGAGAACAACGGACCCTTAGACCTCGCGGTTGTAGATGTTCCACCTGAAGACCATCCTGTATCTTCAGTAGAATCTCCTTACAATATTCTGGGAAAACTCGAACCTGATCCTCGGAAAGAACTGAACGAATACGCCAAAACGTATATCCGTGATGAGATCCAGAAGAAAAGTTGGGACGAATCAGTGACTGAGTTAAGGAAATGGCATAAGGATTATAAACAAACTTTAGTCGACACCACAGAGCTAGGTGATAAAAGATATCGTATTGCAAAAGAAGCCGAATGGACCTTCATGAGGCTTGCGAATCGTGATCATTACAACTTTGCTGATACTGCCAAATCCATGGAACATGAAACAAATTGGAATCTAACTCAGAAGAAAAAAATGTATAACTTAAATGAATATCGAGAGAGGATCCTAAAGGCCCTGGATAAAATGCAGTCCTCTCCCGAATACCCGATAGATGTTCAAAGTGAAAAAGAGGTTTTTGAAGAGAAATACCAAGGTTGGAAGAAACACCTCCTAGAAAAATACGCCGACAAACCAAGATGTTGTGAGTCTTGTCGCCTATTTGGGTGCGAAGATAGCCCGGAACCCGAAACTAATAACATTGAACGCACTAATCCAGCTCCAGAGGTACCAGCTGAGGTCCTCATTCTTCCTTCACATGATCCTAACGGAAAGAATGCTCTGTTCTTTACGGACCTAGAAAACATCATAAATGAAGACCAAGATGTTATAATGGACAATACCTTAATTGATGGATTTTCTTTCATTAAAACTCCTTTTAACTCTCCTCTTATAGGCGCACAAACTATTATCTCTCCCGACAAAGAATTGGAAAGTGTAGAGGCTTGGAATAAGATATATTCTTTGTGTAAGAAGAGATCAAATGAACACTTGGACGAGAAGGTTGAAGATGAAGAACCAGTATATTTAGATCTAAATCTGGTAGATGACTTAAACCATGTAACTGGTTCGTCAAATTTACCATTATATACTTTTTTTACCAGCTCTAACTCGCCACTACGTACCATATTAGATACTGGGGCGGCCGCAAATTATATCTCAAAAGATGTCGCTTTAGAAATATTGAAACAGGACCACAAGGCCAAAGTCATCGACGAACCAAAGAGACAAGTTCGATTAGCCAACGGGTCAACGGAGGACTGTGGTCGTAAGTTAGAATTCTTCATACTGTGGTCGTAAGTTAGAATTCTTCATATCCATCGCAGGGTTTCAAATGAAAATCAGAGCATATTGTCTGAGTCTCCCGCATATTGACTTAATACTTGGATTACCATGGTTTCAAGAACATAAACCGGTTCCTAATTTCTCAAACGGGACGTATTCAATTTCAACACAACCTTCCAATCTGGACATCCGACCTAGTAAAAAGTCAAAAGACTCAGATGTCAACACCATTGAAAAAATATCTCCTCAGGAAGAAGTTCGAAGACTGGCCGAACAAACGGCACCTGAATGTTTTGCTGAGGACATCACGGTTGGCGCCAATACCACCTGCACACATACAATTGACACGGCCGACGCGCGACCTGTCAAAACTCACGGAAGGCCACACTCACCGCCTGAACACGCAGTGATTAATCAATTTGTAGAGGACGGATTGAAGCAAGGTATTATTGAGAAATCATGTTCGCCTTGGTCATTCCCCATAGTGCTTGTAAAGAAAGCTGATGGGTCCACCCGTGTCTGCATCGATTATCGAAAACTTAACAATGTTACAATCAAAAACGCGTACCCACTTCCACGAATAGATGAAGTATACCAATTCCTTAGTAAAGCGAACTGGTTTACAACTATGGACTTGAAGAGCGGTTTTTGGCAAGTACTGATGGATCCCCAGGACAAAATTAAAACAGCATTTACTTGCCGAGCCGGCCATTTCCAATGGAAGGTAATGCCTTTTGGTCTCTGTAATGCTCCCGCAACCTTCCAGTCCATGATGAATGACATTCTTGCTCCCATCATAGACAGGTACGCTATGGTTTACTTAGATGATGTCATCATATATTCCAAAACTCCAGAAGATCATAAAAGACATATTAAGGAAGTCTTGACTTTATTGAAAGACCATAAACTGACTCTTTCTCCAAAAAAATGCAATTGGGCTCAAAATAAACTCTTATTTTTAGGACACATAGTAGATGGTGACGGAATCAGAACAAATCCGGACAAGATATCGAAAATCTTAGAGTGGCCAGTACCAACAACCGTCACACACGTACAAGGTTTTTTGAACCTATGCACCTATTACAAGAGGTTTATAAAAGACTTTGCAAAAATCGCATCGCCAATCTACAAACTGACAGAAGGTTCCTTGAAACCTGGGACGACCATCACCTGGGGAGACGAGCAACATAAAGCATTTACAGCTTTGAAAACAGTTCTAACCGGCACAGTCACTTTACCACACCCGATTCCTTTTTATCCGTTTGTCTTAGACACAGACGCATCCAAGACTTGCATCGGGTCAGTATTTCAACAAGATACAGAAGACAAGTTTGATAAAGAAAATTTTACCCTAGAACAATACAGCAAAGAGGTAAAAAATCGAAATCTCAGACCAGTAGCATTCGAATCGAAAAAGCTATCAAAAACTGAACAACGTTACTCGACTCAGGAACGAGAACTTCTAGCTATCGTCCATTCTTTGAAGCATTTCCGAGGTTTGATCGCAGGTTCACCAATCTTGGTTCGAACAGATCACGAAAGCCTCAAACATTTTCAGACACAACAATACACAAACCCCAGATTGGCACGATTCCTGGACGACATTGAAAGCTACAATGTCCACATTGTATACAGACCAGGTAAGCATCAACTTGCTGCCGATGCTATGTCTAGGAAACCTGACGCACCCTCAGACGTTGAACCTCCTGAAATAGCAGAACCTCTGTATGTTATTCACAACGATAACAGCCCCGAATTAGACTTCGAAAGATTGCGAGAGTACTACGACTTGTTGGACCATGGAAAGAATCCTTCCGATGTAGGCTCCGGCAACTTCAACATAATTAGGCGTCAAATGGTACGTTACAATCCCGACGAACCAAATACAACACCAAAAGCAGTCCTCACGACAAAGGAGGAAGCCGAGTTAGTATGTATAGCTGTACATATCAATTTGGGACATAGAAACTACAAAGACGTTATAATCAGTATGAAAGAAAATTATTGGTTTCCAAATATGAATAAATTCATTGAAGAAACAATAAAAGATTGTAGAGAGTGTCAAATTCACGCAGCTCACTCGGATAAAGAAAATTTACCGATCCAGGTTATCGAAAGGGGAAAACCATTCCGCAAGTGGGGAATGGACTTCGTAGGCCCTTTACCAAAAACGGCCCATGGAAATGAATACATCTTAACGGCCGTAGACTACGGCACGGGCTGGGCTTACGCCGTTCCTCTCAAGAAAACGTCAGCAGAAGCGGTGGTCGACCTCGTGAAACAACTCTGTCTTGCCCACGGACACCCAGATGAGATTACAACCGATAATGGTAGTGAGTTTCATTCCCACGTTTTTCAAGTCTATTTGCGAGAGAGTAAAATTAAACACCTACATACTACTCCCTACCATCCACAAGGCAACGGGCTGGTAGAACGGTTCCACGGAACATTAATTGGTGCTATCAAGAAATTTTGTGCACCTTATAACCAAGGAAAATGGGACCAATACGTGAATAAAGCTCTTTTTGCTTATAGGGCAGCCCATTCCAACTCACTGAAAGCGTCGCCCTTCGAGATGACATACGGCATTGAGGCACGTTTTCCACCAATCTTTTCTTTGGGAGATAACCCTATTCTCGTCAACAAAAAGGACATTAAATTAACCCAAGAATTGCGACGTATAGATCTCGAAAGATTCTCAAAACAAAGACAAGAGCGTATCGATCAACTCAATGAAAGAGCTAGACAGCGACTACAAGACTCAGAAGAGAACTTTGTCGAACGGCATATTAAACCCGGAGACCTGGTATGGAGAAAGTTTGAAGGAAGAGCTTCAAAGCTACATCCGCGGTGGGACGGGCCGTTCATCGTTCGAGACTCTGATCCTAACGGTACGTATCAATTGATGACATCCAATGGTCATATTTTACAACTACGCGTTAATGGATCAAGACTGAAGCCTTACATGGGAAAGAATATTGATGAATTTTTCTTTGCGTCTCAACAACTCCATGACCGTGATGCAGCAGCCAAACACGGTCAAACATCTAATTAGCCAATTACGGTTCTTATCAAAACTGACTATTGGAAATGAAGATCTAGATATACTACATTCCCTCAAACATGAACTAGAATTCACCTTGTCCGAAGTACAACAGGAAATAGACGTGGTGGAGGATACCTTTGGCTCAAACGAGGATGTTTGAATCTTAAGTGGGGGATGGTGTAATTCCGGAACTTCTTATTTCCTTCTTTTTACTTTTCTATCTTTTGTAAAACGCTTTCGGAAAAGCCTTACGACTTTTCCTGCAAGTGTCTTTTCCTTTTTCTATCATCTCATAATCATCATAATGGTCTACTATCTATATTCGGGATTTATTCCTAAAATCCCTTGACTTGTATCTTTTCCAAACTCGGATTCCTCTAAGCAGAATCCTCTCGTTGTAAACTCTCAAGTTGTACTTTCCTTTTTCAGTCTCTAGTGTTTTTCAAAAACACTTATAAAGAGGATCCACTTCTCGCTGAAATGAATCCTCAAGTCACTTCGCTTACATTTTCAAAAGCACCTGATCCTGTAAGAATCACACAGGCCAGAGAAAAGCAAACTTGTACTGAGTTCCTTTTCTGGGGCTTAGGTTGCAAGTAACAGGGTGGGACTCTGATAAGTTTAGAAAAGCTGCTTCTCTTCTTCACCTTTCCTTTGTCTCTTTGTCTGGTTGTTCCAGAACTCAAGATATACAACCTCTAATTGAGTTTCTCATGTTTGGACATGCTCCAAAGTAAACATTTCAATTTGTCCAAAGAGTGAGAAAATTGTCATATCAATTCAGAGGTGAGATTTTAGAAAATGTGTATAATTTGTGATTTAAACCTTTGTCATGACTTTTGATATCTTTTACATCATTGACTTGTTTACATTTTGTTGATGTTTCTTGAATCTTGTACAGCTGTTTTGAAAATAAATGTGGCTGTTGTTGTTTTTTATTTTATTTTATTCATATCTGTGGTTATCAACCTGGTAGGAACAGCGCAGAAATGGCTGGTGATGCAGTCCAAGTTTGACTCACATTGCTTGCCCAAAGCCAGCTTCAACCTTTGATGCCAACACTTGAGCGGGCTTGAGCCTGCACAAACTCCATTTCTGATCCCAATTGGGATAAATAAGCTAGACAGGCAGCATATCAATTGACCGTAGATATGAAAAAATATAATCAAAAACAACAGAAGCAACATTTATTTTCAAAACAGCTGTAAATAAATTGGTTCAATAGATCAAGGTTTCTGCTTAACCACACTGGGCCTCAACTCCAACTCAAGAATACAGGCAGCTGCACAACACAGCTCAGACATCAAGCAAGGTTGGTGGCAGTGCCTTCTGCATCATCAATATGGAAAGATTGTTCACAACTCTAATCCTTGCCCAAGTAAATCAAGCAGAGGAATTGAGCCCAATTGGTTATTTATGGTGAGAGCATACCCCCAACACCCGACGTCAGCGCAGTACAGCGCAGAATGCGCGAAACTGCGCTGCGCCAAAAAAATCGAAAATTCCAAAACCCACTGCGCTGCGCTAGGGCGCAGTGACCCAAAATCTTTGAGGCCCCTGCGGTGCGCTCCAGCGCAGGTAAGTCCAGCGCAGCGCAGTGGGCAAAAAAATTGTTTTTCTGGCGGATGGAAAGCCCATTTTTTCAATTTTCCATTGGAGAAGTGACACATCCACTGCGCTGCAAAAAGGCGCAGTGGCGAAAAGTCGAAAAGCCCCTGCGCTGTGAAAAGGCGCAGTCGCCATATTTTCAAAAACCCCAGCGCTGTGCCACAGCGCAGGCGCAGGCTGTGCCTCGCAGTCTGCGCTGCGAGTCGGGTGTTGATACCCCCTATTGATAACAAAGTCATTCAAACCTGCAATTCAAGCAGCTGCATCCAAACTGATTCTGATAGATCCACACATCCCCACTTGTGTTGATAGATTCACAAATACGCCCCTGCTCACCCAGAAACGTGAGATGCTTGACAAATATGTAAGCTGTATGCAAAATTTGTGGGAAGCAGTTAAACTGTTACCTTGGAGCAAAAGGTCCTACTTTTGGAAGCTGAGTTGTGCCCATGACAGGCATAGAAGCGTGCAATGGGGACTATCATGATTCAGATTATTTTTGTCAGATACTTTCAATTTTTTTTCTTATTGATTGGCTTTATTAGCTTTGCAATACTGACTATAGATGACAATGTACTCTGACAAAGCCAAAACTTTCTTTGATAAGTTTGAATTTTGGCCTGGGAGGTCATTTTTTGCGCTTGTGTGATCCAAGCCACAATAAGCCAAGTAGCGGTGCCCCTACTGGGCTCGTTGGATATCCCCTCAGTCACCTTGAGGCAAGCAATGTTGCAGCTGAAAATTGTGAAGTTGTATTTTACGTCAGAACTCCGTACAAGGCGTATACCGGGGCCAGCGGGCCGGATATCTGAGGCCGGCTATCCATAAGGAGCATGCTTGATTCGCTCGCCGACGTCATCTGATATTAATGACTGATTCCAAGACGATAACGATTGGAATTCAAGGATGCAAGGATCAAGAGTCGATGAACAAGCCTTGACAATAGCAAAATCATGCGATATTGACTTACCAGTCACTCTAAAAATGTGAGCATTGGGAGTTTCCATTCCATACATTGCAACTAGTTAACAAATCAGCGCATTCAATCAGCTCTAGAATCGAAGGCAACAGGTTCAATCCAAACACCATTGACCCGATAATCTCAACTCAACTGGATATCGATTTGAAAAGGTTGAATTCCAATCCCCTTCAAGGAAACTTTCAATCAGACATCTCGATCAACTTTTTCATTGACTTTTGATCTCATCGGTTGATAGCCCTCTATCAGATTTATACGTATCAGTACAAGTTTGGGCAGATAATCGACCATTAACAATACCATTTTATACTCCTCACAAGTCATTCACCAGCTCTTATACGTCAGTTTGATCATTTAATCAATCCCAGTTGAGATTCAATCACTTAATGCAATTCAATGGCTTTCACATGTTGAAGCCTCAATAAATTGAATTTCTTATTAGATGGTCTTCTCCAATCACATTACCAATCAAATATCGTGATTTACCACATTCAGCTCAATTAACTTTTAATGTATTCGATGTGGTCAACTACTCTACGATCTCTAATACGGAATTAGATTTAAATTCTCGTACGGATTCGTTTTTACTCAGGAATTCAGAAATCGTGGGTGGTACTACCCTTAGCCTTTTTGGAAAAAAGAGAACTTTGAGGAAGGGAAAACAGAGATGTCTTCTTCATGTTAGTAATATCATATCTGCCTGGATCTCAAGTGATTAGCTGTTAACGTTGAATTCAACTTCTTGGATTTTATTAACACGTTAGCGCGGCAAATTGGCAGACGGCTACATCGCCACCTCAACCCCAAGCAAATTACCCCGAAGTAATCCACTTACCGCACAAGATGATGCAGAAGCAGAAGAGGCGGATAAATTGGGACGACTTGAAAAGGTTTGCCAGAGCTTCTTGACCTCTGCTTGCTAAAACAAATGCTCAAATTTTATCCACGTTGAATGATTCTTATGTGATCGCTTATCGTTTACTTGAAGCTTGTCAAAAAACAAGAGCGTGGCGATCTTCCTAGGCTGGATTGGCTTGACAAATGCGCATTTAGACAAATTGAAAAGATTCATGCTGTGAGTGCGTTTTTCGCCACATGCACGATAACACCATTAGATGTCTTGAAGTTTGATATCAACTATACCCAATCACACAGGAAGAAACGTCAAAAAGTCCACACATGTATATATATGTCGATCTCCCTCGATTCGATTTTCCGATCGTCTTTAACGAAATCGATCTACCGCAACCATCTCTTCCTCCATTTCCCATCTCTGCACCTCTCCCTCAATATCAGCAGCAGTACTCTACGACCAACTTTTCCGACATTTTTACAGTTGTTGACCCAGAAATGCTGCAAGACAATCCAATTGAAAGTAAACATACTCGTCTACATCGTAGTCATCGCAATGGTCCATTGGATCGCGAGCTCCGGCCTGAGAAGAGTGTGAGGGATGCTCTCAATGTACGCAGTCTCTCTTAACCTCCCATTTTGAACAATCTCATCCTATGCCAATAAGCTTGCTAAATTGAATTGTGATACGTTTGCCAGAATATCCTAAGTTATCCCCCTACGCGTGCTTTGACACGCGATGAGAGAGACTTAGTTTGGCGATTCAGATTCTTCCTTTCACATGATAAACGAGCGCTTACAAAGTTCCTCAAATCCGTGGTTTGGTCAGACAAAGGTGAAGTACGACAGGCCATTGGTGATTTGCTCCCGATCTGGTCCGACATTAGTCTTGGTGATGCCCTGGAGCTTTTGGGACCCTCTGAAGATTACCGTGACCCGCGTGTCAAACGCTTTGCTGTTCAGCAATTGAGTAGAGCGGATGACGACGAGCTTGTACTATATCTCTTACAATTGGTCCAAGCTTTAAAGTTTGATCTTTCATCATCACAGTCGACTGCACCGTCAAAAACCCCTTCATCCTCAACAATGGGAAACTCTCAACGCTTTTCTACAGCTACCATCACTCGTGCTAATATAGCGAGTAGTAGTGTGATGGGTTGGGACAAACGATCTTCTCAGAGCTATGTTGCACCTCGATCGACCCTTCCTGATCACTTTGACGACTCCTCCACGGTCAGTTTAGAAGACTTTTTGATCGAGCGAAGTTGCTTGAACCCAAACGTATTGGGTTATCAGTTTCATTGGTATCTTTCGGTTGAGGAAGGCGCTGGTGGTGATAACACAGTTACGCAAATGTACAGTAGAGTGCTTCTGAAGTTTCACGAGAAAATGCAAGAGGTTCGTACTTCAGAAAACTACACCTACTGCCAAGATCCGTTGGTTAATATTCGACGTACTGACCCGGCTTTCTGTCCCGCTTGACTTTTTTTGTAAATTGGGATTTCATCACTCTTGCATAGACCGAAAAGGGGCGTCAAATGTCCGAATTACTCCAACGACAGGTCACCTTTGTTAGATCAGTGTCAAAACTAGCAAAAGACATTCGATTCTCAAAGGATGCACGTCCAAAGAAGATTGAAAAGCTCAAAAGCGTACTCAAAGACCCAGCGAAACAAGCAGCTCTACTTTCGACAGAATCAATTACTCCAGTCGTACCACTTCCACTTCCACTCGATGCAAATACTCAAATAGTTGGATTCGACGCCGAGAAATCCACAGTCTTCAAATCCAATCTGTTTCCGTTAAGGCTTAGCTTGAAATGCGAAGATGGGACAGATTACATGATTATCTTCAAGAATGGGGATGATATGAGACAAGACCAATTGGTGATCCAATTGATCAGTTTGATGGATCGTTTAATGAGAAAGGAACACTTAGATCTCAAGTTGACACCTTATAAAGTTCTTGCTACTGGACAAGTTGACGGAATGATTCAATTCATCAGTAGTATTACTTTGGGGGAGATAGCTAGTCGATTTCCTGGAGGGATCTTGGAGTACCTTCGGATTGAGAGTCCTGATACGAGTGGTGGGATTGGAACGTATGGGGTCACACCTAGTGTATTGGAAAATTTTGTCCGGAGCTGTGGTGAGTGATATAGAGAACTGTGTTTGATTGCTTTGTCATGATAAAATAAGTACGATGACCAAAAACTGATCATTCCTTTTGAATTCGTTTAGCTGGATATTGTGTAGTGACTTATATATTAGGAGTAGGTGATCGACATTTGGATAATTTGATGTTATCACCTACTGGACATTTCTTTCATGTCGATTTTGGTTATATCTTAGGTAGAGATCCTAAACCATTCCCACCTTCAATTAAAGTATGCAAAGAAATGTTAGATGGAATGGGAGGAGATCAATCTGTACATCATGGTCGATTTAAAAGATTATGTAATAGCGCATTTATTTGTTTAAGGAAATCTTCAGGTTTGATTATTAATTTGGTTGGATTGATGATTGATGCAAATATACCTGATATTAAACTTGAACCTGATAAAGCAGTTATGAAGGTTTGTGAAGGATTGTGATTTTGTTCATTTTAACTTTGAAGAAAGCTGAGTTTTTTTTCCTTTTCAATGATTATTTTTAGGTACAAGAAAAGTTTAGATTAGATCTGTCTGAAGAAGATGCGATTAAACATTTTGAAAAAGAACTAAATGATACGTCATACTTTACGGTTGTCTTTGATAAGTTGAGTTCTTTTTTCTTTTCTTCGCAAATGAAGATTTTTTCAACTGATTTTCTTGTTTTGTTTTTCAGGATTCATGCTGTTGCGCAATATTGGAGATCGTAAAGAATAGATTAAAAGGAGATGTGCAAAGAGAAATGTTGTAATAGTATGATAGAAAATTTCGATTTACATTTGGTTTACAATTTCTTTTTTATGATTTCCAAGATTTTTCCAATATAGCTAAGTAGCGCTGCTGATCTATGTATAGAGATCAGGTTCAGAGCAATCGTCTTTACCAGATTTTCTTGTGGCGTGATTAGTCAATGTTTAAGAGATTACTTGGGGAGAAGCATGCATTGAATGCTTGTCAGTCTGTATTCTTTGTTTGAAACCACAGATCCAAAACATTCATTGCATATCATATTGGATCCTTTCAACTTGCTTTCACTGTTGTGATCATTCTATTCATCTGGTTGTAAAGTTGGACAGCTTCTTGCGATCGATGTGACAGCTGCTGGGAACACGAAAAAAATTGAATCCGGCCGGGGTCGAACCGACGATCTCTCGCTACACCTATATCGAAGGCGAGCGCCTTACCACTGGGCCACGAATCCACGACGTGGGAAACCCGCTGGTGTCGACTGGCCACGCGGCACTGTGACGTGAGCCACGGGCTGGCCCCGGTCTGACACCAGCCAACCCCAATCACTTAGGGGATACAAAGAATGTACCAGATAACTAGAGGTTTTATACACCCTTAACTGAACAGCAGCACGCTTTACAGAGGAACTTCAACATATGATTTCATAATAGAGCGGAATTCCTAGCG